TTCATCAGAAAATGGTGCCGCTTGTTGCATTAATTCCTCAAAATTGTGTATTAATTTTAGAATGCAAAACATAAGTAAAAATGTAAATTTTTGACCCATCCCGGCCCCTTGTCAATTATTGAGGCCATGTTTGCAGACCTGCCCAGAAAAATGTAATGATCAAGTCTGCAAACATTCATAATTTTTTGACGTCGTTTATATTTTATTTTTGTTTTCAAAGACAAAAAATAAAGAAAATCATAAAAAATAGAACATTCAACAAAAAATGGTACCGCTTGTTGCATTGATTCCTAAAAATCGTATGTTAATTTTAGAATGCAAAGCATAAATGAAAATACAAATTTTTGACCCATCTCGGCCCCTGAACACTCCACTACACAGGTCGGGGCTTTTTGACAGCATTTTACTTTTTTTTTGGTCATTTTTTATGTCACTTTCTGTAGGCATGGCCAGAAAAATGTAAAGATCATGTCTGCAAAATTTCATAATTTATTGACGTCATTTTTATTTTATTTTATTTTTCAAAGTTGAAAAATAGAGAAAATCATAAAAAATATAATATTTATCAAAAAATGGTGTCGCTTGTTGCATTAATGCCTAAAAATCATATATTAATTTTAGAATGCAAAACACAAAAAAAATTATAAATTTTTGATCCATCCCAACCCCTGGGCGCCCCACTACTCGGGCCGGGGGCTTTAAAACAGTGTTTTACTTTTTTGTCATTTTTTGAGGCCATTTTTGTAGGCTTGCCCAGAAAAAATGTAAGGATCGAGTCTGCAAAATTTCATAATTTTTTGACGTCGTTTTTATTTTATTTTATATTTCAAAGATGAAAAACAATGAAAATCTTAAAAAAAAAAATATAACATTGATCAAAAAATGGTGTCGCTTGTTGCATTAATTCCTAAAAGTGATAGGTTAATTTTAGAATGCAAAACATAAATAAAAGGTAAATTTTTTACCCATCCCGGCCCCTAAGTGTCCCACTATGCATGTCGGGGGCTTTTTGACAGCGGTTTACTTTTTTTTTTATCATTTTTTATGTCATTTTTTGTAGGCATACCCTGAAAAATGTACAGATCATGTATGCAAAATTTCATAATTTTTGGACGTCATTTTTATTTTATTTTATTTTTCAAAAATGAAAATAAAAAAATCATAAAAAATAGAATATTCATCAAAAAATGGTGCCACTTGTTGCATTAATTCCTCAAAATTGTGTATTAATTTTAGAATGCAAAACATAAATAAAAATGTAAATTTTTGACCCATCCTGGCCCCTTGGTGGGCCACTACGCGGGCTGGGTGATTTTGACAGCGTTTTACTTTTTTGTCATTTATTGAGGCCATTTTTGCAGGATGCCCATAAAAATGCAATGATCGTGTCTGCAAACATTCATAATTTTATGACGTCATTTTTATTTTATTTTATTTTTCTAAGACGAAAAATAAAGAAAATCATAAAAAATAGAATATTCATGAAAAAAATGGTCCCGTTTGTTGCATTGATTTCTAAAAATTGTATGTTAATTTTAGAATGCAAAGCATAAATAAAAGTGCAACTTTTTGACCCATCTCGGCACTTGGACACTCCACTACGCAAGTCGAGGGCTTTTTAACAGCGTTTTACTTTTTTTTTGTCATTTTTTATGGCACTTTTTGTCAGTATGCCCAGAAAAATGTAAGGATCATGTCTGCAAAATGTTATAATTTGTTGACGTCATTTTTATTTTATTTTATTTTTCAAAGTTGAAAAATAAAGATAATCATAAAAAATGCAATATTCATCAAGAAATGGTGTCACTTGTTGTATTAATACCTAAAAATCATATATTAATTTTAGAATGCAAAACACAAAAAAATGTAAACTTTTTTACCCATTCCGGCCCCTGGGCGCCCCACTACACAGGCTGGGAGTTTTTTTAACAGTGTTTTACTTTTTTTTTGGGTCATTTTTAAGGCCTTTTTGTGCTGGCTTGCCCAGAAAAATGTAAGGATCATTTATGCAAAATTTCATAATTGTTGGACGTCGTTTTTATTTTATTTTATTTTTCAAAGATGAAAAATAAAGAAAATCATAAAAAATAGAATATTCATCAAAAAATGGTGCCGCTCATTGCATTAATTCCTAAAAATCGTATGTTAATTTTGGAATGCAAAACATAAATAAAAAGGTAAATTTTTGACCTATCCCGGCCCCTGAGCGCCCCCCACTATGCATGTCGGGGGCTTTTTGAAATCGTTTTACTTTTTTTTTATCATTATTTGATGTCATTTTTTGTAGGCATGCCCAGAAAAATGTTAGGATCATGTATGCAAAATTTCATAATTTGTTGACGTCATTTTTATTTACTTTTATAAAGAAATTCATCAAAAAATTGTGCCACTTGTTGCATTAATTCGTCAAAATTGTGTATTAATTTTAGAAAGTAAAACATAAATAAAAATATAAATTTTTGACCCATCCCGACCCCTTGGTGCCCCACTACGCGGGCCGGGGGCTTTTTGATAGTGTTTTACTTTTTTGGTCATTTATTGAGGCCATTTTTGCAGGCATGCCCAGAAAAATGTTATGATTGTGTCTGCAGACATTCATAATTTTTTAACGCCGTTTTTATTTTATTTTATTTTTCAAAGATGAAAAATAAAGAAAATCATAAAAAAATAGAACATTCATCAAAAAATGGTACTGCTTGTTGCATTGATTCCTAAAAATCGTATGTTAATTTTAGAATGCAAAGTATAAATAAAAATGTAAATTTTTGACCTATCTCGGCCCCTAGACACTCCACTACGCGGGTCGGGACTTTTTGACAGCGTTTTACTTTTTTTTGTCATCTTTTTATGCCAATTTTTGTAGACATGCCCAAAAAAATGTAAGGATCATGTATGCAAAATTTCAAAATTTTTTTGACGTCATTTTAATTTGCTTTTATTTTTTAAAGTTGAAAAATAAAGAAATTCATCAAAAAATGGTGTCGCTTGTTGCATTAATTCCTCAAAATTGTGTATTAATTTTAGAACGCAAAACATAAATAAAAATGTAAATTTTTTACCCATCCCGGCCCCTTAGTGCCCCACTACGCGGGCCGAGGGCTTTTTGACAACGTTTTACTTTTTTTGTCATTTATTGAGGCCATTTTTGTAAGCATGCCTAGAAAAATGTAATGATCGTGTCTGCAAACATTCATAATTTTTTGACGTCGTTTTTATTTTATTTTATTTTTCAAAGACGAAAAATAAAGAACATCATAAAAAATAAAACATTCATAAAAAAAAATGGTACCACTTGTTGCATTGATTTCTAAAAATTGTATGTTAATTTTAGAATGCAAAACATAAATAAAAATGTAAATTTTTGACCCATTTCGGCCCCTGGATGCTCCACTACACGGGTCAGGGGCTTTTTGACAGTGTTTTACTTTTTTTTTGTCATTTTTATACCATTTTTTGTAGGCGTGCCCAGAAAAATGTAAGGATCATGTCTATAAAATTTCATAATTTTTTGACGTCATTTTTATTTTATTTTATTTTTCAAAGATGAAAAATAAAGAAAATAAAAAAATGGAATATTCGTCAAAAAATGGTATCGCTTGTTGCATTAATGCCTAAAAATCATATATTAATTTTAGAATGCAAAACACAAATAAAAATTTAAATTTTTGACCTATCCCGGCCCGTCGGCGCTCCACTACGCGTGTCGGTGGCTTTTTGACAACATTTACTTTTTTATCATTTTTTATGGCACTTTTTATTGCATGCCCAGAAAAATGTAAAGAATGTATGCAAAATTTTAAAAGTTTTTGACGTCATTTTTATTTTATTTTATTTTTCAAATAGGAAAAATAAAGAAAATCATAAAAAATGGAATATTGATCAAAAAATAGTGTCGCTTGTTGCATTAATTTCTAAAAATCGTATATTAATTTTAGAATGCAAGACATAAATAAAAAGTTAAAATTTTAACCTATCCCGGCCCTTGGGCATTTCACTACGCGGGTTGGGGGCTTTTTGATAGCGTTTTACTTCTTTTTGTCATTTTTTGATGCCACTCTTTGTAGGCATGCCCAGAAAATGTAAGGATCATGTCTGCAAAATTTCATAACTTTTTGACATCATTTTTATGTTGTTTTCTTTCAAAGACGAAATTAAAGAAAATCATAAAAAATAGAACATTCATAAAAAAATAGTGCCGCTTGTTGTATTAATTCCTAAAAATCATATGTTAATTTTAGAATGCAAAACATAAATAAAAATAGGACAATAATGGCTTTGTGAACACCCTTAATGTTTAAGGAAAATACAGGAGGCAAGAAAAAAAGGACAATAATGGCTTTGTTAAAAGAACAGTTTCTACAAACCTATGGTAATTAAAAAAGTGAGGGATAAAAGTTTAACAAAAATATAAAATTAACAAAGTTTTAAGTCCACTAACCATATGTACAGTTAACCTAAAAAAAAATGCAAGGACAGATCTGAAGACTACAGCTATAGAATATCTAATTGAAAACTTTATGTAGAATTCTTCAAAAGTTCCAATTATGAAATTAGTTTCTGCCTTTAAAATACCCACTATTTCTTTAAAAACCCACACACATAAGTTCCTTTGACAAAAGTTAATATCGAATTAAACTAAAACAAGAGGATTTCACAGAGAATAATGCAAAACACTAGGTCAAAAATCATCAAATCGGTCAAAAAGACCATGAAAATTTTAATTAACGAGCTAATAAGCAGTTTATTGCGAGTCAGATGATCTTACTGATTAAGACAATTAAACATCAATCCCATGCGACAATACTTCTAAGAATGCATAAGAAAATTAAGACTACATCATCCCTTTTCCTCAGCTCATCATGATAAACACAAGGAAAAAACTCGAGAAAAAAAAAAAGAGAAAAAGTAGTTAGTTTAAAAAATAGATAGAAAAACTTTCTCAGAAAGCAGCAGAATGCAATTTAGGACATATTATCCCAACATACAATGTAAAATTCTATTAACTTGTATGGATAATGTGATTAAGACTAAATATCAATCCCATGCGACAATACTTCTAAGAATGCATAAGAAAATTAAGACTACATCATCCCTTTTCCTCTGCTCATCATGATAAACACAAGGAAAAAAATCGAGAAAAAAAAAAAGAGAAAAAGTAGTTAGTTTAAAAAATAGATAGAAAAACTTCAATGGAGTTTTATTGTAGTCTTCAGTTGTCTTTTAGCCTTTCGGAATAGAAAAGGCAGCTAGGCAAGTGAATAAGAGACTGGGCTCTTAGCCTTTAGGAATCCATGCCAGGGCGCCTCTCTTAAAGCAGAAAAACAAGATCTCCAGTGCCTCAGCTATTTTGTTTTTCAAAAAAAGGAACAAAAACCAAACAAACAAACAAAAAGAACAGAGTTATTACCTCATAGACAGAATGAAAATCTCCTTGCCCAAGTTTATCTTTGATGGCAAAATGTTTTGTAGTAGCTAATCCAAATCTAAAAAGTTGAAGCTTAGATAAGCAACAGGGAAAAAAAATGCAAATTCGTCAATAATAACACTTAAAATCAGAAAAATCTAATAATAGTAGTTCCTTCTTCCTTTTGCACTTCCTTTTTTAATTAATTTCACAACCAATAACTCCACCAAACCAAAATTTCTCCAACCAAAGCAAGGAAACAGAGGAATCCTAAATAAACGAAGAAAAACTATATTACAGCTTTAACATTAAAAGGAGAACCTCAATTTTAATTATAGCCGTCGGCTTTCTCTAGGAAAGAAAAAAGAAAAGAAAAAGAAAAAAGAAAAGAGAACATGAAGATTACCTTACAGAACCAAATCTTGCTTGCACAAGTTTAATTGCGGTGACAAAACATTATGCAGTAGTTAATATGTTGACCAAATAGGTAAAGTTGAAGCTAGCTGGTGCGTGCTTTCTTGCGTGGATTTGGCGCTTGCTTTTGCTCTTTGCCACTTTTAGCATATTTCTCTCTCTGTATTAGTTATATAAAATCAAAGATTCAACATCAAATTCTAAGTAAACCTCTAGACATAATACTCTCCTTGGAGGCCAATTTTTGAACAATATTTAGCGCTTTTTTTTTTTTTTTTTTTGTGGATACCCAAAAATCCCCCGAACCCACTTTGTGAATTTGAGTTAGCAACTGGAGCCCTCCGCCCCTACAATCTTTGGAAGGTAGGAAACCATGACTTTTGTCATGTAGGTACCCATGAGGTGGTTTGAACCCCAGACCTTGTGGGAGCAAAGCAAAGGCCTACAACTGTTAGCTATTTTGTAGTTTTTAACTTAACAAAAACAGTTTAAAAGATTAAAAGTTATAACTATTTTTTGTGAAAAAAGCTATAATTACTTATAAAACTAAAACTGAAACTACCTCATGTCTAATTATATGCAAACGGACCAATCAGACACCACCACATACGCATTCTAATTAAACTATCTCATGTCTAATTATATGCAAACGGACTAAAGTCGGACACCAAATACGCACTCTAATGAAGCTTTTTTTTCTTTTTTTCTAAAACACGGACACTGGAAATTCTATGGGAAAAACACCAATAAGATAGCACACTTAATAAAAATAAATAAATAAATAAAAGTGTCATGAATTCCCAATTATTCAATTCCAATTTGTTTTCTTCATTCCAAAAACCAAATTATACCAGAAAACAAGCTGCAAGATGACCTCAAAAGAAAAAAACTTGATTCATTGGGGAACCCAAGAACAACAACGACAACGACAACTATATTAGTTCCATACATAAGCATGGAATATAAGAAAACAACAGAACAAGTAAAATACAAAACCACCTACAAAGTCAAAAGTGACCTCCAAAGAACAAAATTACTTGATTATAGGGGTAAATCCAACGACAGCAACAAATATACAAGTTGTACGCACAAACAATTAATAGAGTATGCCACCAAGAATTATCTATTGATCTATCACATGCGCCACAATGTATGAGTCACCAAGATATATTGATTAATTTATTATTGAATGAAAGAAATAGTTAACTGCAAGTAGACAGAGTGATTGTATCTTCACTTTTTGATGATTGATAATTTGATATACAGAGACCTAAAGTAACATCAAATTATAATTTAGTATGAGCTTTATCAAATGGCACAACATGTATGATATGGCGAAACATCAAATAAATATTAGAAGTAAAAATTGGATTGAGCAATCAAATAAGAATATAAGAATATATATATATTAAACAAAACTAAATACACAATAAGACCAATCAAATAAGAAGATATATTAAACGAAACTAAATACACAATAAGCAGACATCCATAACACGAATAGGATATTTACCCATTGTAGATTATACCAACGCCAATCAGAAGGCAACTCAAGAAGTTCCATACGACAGAACTGCAAATGACTTAGGAAAACAGAGAAATAGGAGGAAAACGGAAACAGAGAGAAAGCGACAAGCAAGAAAGGAGGTATAATCTGAGAACCCAATAGTGAAAAGACAGCTAGAGTAAATATAGAACCTACCTAGGTTTTCCTCTTGCAATAGAAAAGGGGGAAAAGAACTATTTGCTTTCCCTAAACGAAAAAACATAATAAGATCATAAGATGGGATGAAAGTTGTAAAGATGAAGATGGAGAAAGATGCATGAACGAACTGTTATACAAAGTCACTTATATAAGAAAACTAAAGAGCAACCATAGGTTTGAAACATTTGGGAACTGTTCAACGAGCAACCCACCAGTACATTCTCACACAACAATAATATAAGCAGAGGCCATTTAACATCTAATGTAAGAATTACTACTTAGCAAAAATACATCATGGGAACTAAAAAGCATGACTACATAAAATATAGAAACGTACAACTAATAACATGGAATCCCGTAATCCAACTTCGCAGAAGATCCAACTAATAACATAGAAATAACTTCGCAGAAGATGAAAAGAAGAAGTAAATTTACCTCGATTGAGCATTATTCCTAGAGCGAGAGGAATGGAGAACTTAATGGGAGAGAAAGTAAAAATCAAAAAAGCATCAGAAATAAAATTTTATAAAAAAGAATGAAAAATACTAAGTGAGCAATAAGAGAACAATTAATACACACCACTACAATCCTAATGTTTGGTTCTGTAAATTGGCTGCCAAAGGTTTGTTGGGGATGAGAAGCATAGAGAGTCACCCAAAAATCAAGTCTTTGAACCATAACGTGTGTTATGAAGAATCTCAAGACACATATACATAGTGTACCACCACATGAAAGATGAAACAAATCAAAATTCTAAAGGGCTAAAAAACTTGTAAATGAAACTACTAACAGACAAACTAATATAATCTAAAGCCAACTTCTGAGCAACTCAAAAATCACCTACTCTATCATAGATCATCTGTTATCAGGTAATGATTATTTTTTAAAGAAAATATAGATTAAGGGTTATTAGACAACTTACCAAGATGTATATTTTTACAAAAATATTGTCAGAATTAATGTATTTGAAAAAGTCATAGAATTCCATCACAAAAAGATTACCAATTACATCAATATCACAAATGAAGAATGTGACGTGCATTTTCATCTAGTCAACTGCGATAAGTAGTTGTACAAGCGACTCCTAGAGTTTTGAAAGCAAATAATATTAGAAAAAAACTTTTAGCGAAGAAGATGAATCCCTCATATGAACTTCCAAAGGAAAAACTTTGTCAAAAACTCATGATCGTCGTCTATCAAAAGCAAAAAAACAAAAAACACCAGCAAAAAAGCAATAACAACGACAGGCCATACAATTTATCAAAACCTGTATTAAAGGCAACAAGAAAAAAAAAGATCGTCCAGCAAAGAGACTCACTCAAATGAAGAACTAATAACCTGCATCAAAGGCAACCAAAAAAAAAACCACAAATGACCGAAACCCAAAAAAAAAAAGTGGCATTTTTTTTCTTTATTTTACCTACACTAAAGAGGAAATGAAAATGTAAGAAATGATTGAAAACCCTGAAAAGAGAAGAAGAGCACTTTTATAGGGGGGCAAAGACTCACAGCAATTTCCTAAGTTAATGGCCTCCTCTCAGAAGCTCTCATCCATATACACGTGAAACAAGAGATTATGACTTGCTATTAGCAAGAAGGAAAAAACTAAAAAACTAAAAAAACAACCAGAGAGATTATGATCTGCCTGATATTAAAAAAATAAAAAGTCATAGGTGACCAAAGACTCGCATTCACAACAAGGAAGAGGATGAGTCTTTGGTTGAGAAGGCAAGAACAGGGTCTTCATTTTTTTCAACCAAAATAAACAAAACCCCCAAATTAAAAAAGAAATCATAAGATAAGGAGAGAAGGGGAAAGAACAAATAAATCTGAAATGAAACCAAACCTAGGGCTAAGCATGGAAATCGCACCCAAGAAACCGTTGTGGAGTGCAAAGAAAGAGAGAGGTAGAGGCTATGGAAATCGGACGCAAAGAGTTCAAATCCGACGGCGGAGCGTTCTCCTTGGAGCCCCTCTGCTTCCGCGACGGCCAGGGCTTGGCTACGCTAGGGTTCGGCGACGTCGGAGACTCCATCTTCGTCTCCCTCAAGATCGCGTTTCTTGGCTACATGAAGTGCTTCATGGTTGCGAAAGCTAGAGAGAGAAAGAGAGAAGAGGAGGAGAGAGAGAGGGTGAGATATTGATTGAGAAGGTTTTGGATCGGAAATGGAGCAGAAGACCAAGGAGCGAGAGATGGGAAATGTAACCGTTGGAGGAATACTCTGGGAGATATGAGAATATTATTTTTGGGGGAAAAAGCAGGCTTTTTTCGTTTATTATTTGTTTGTCGTTGTCATTACACGTCTATTTCGAGAGAGAGAAAACAAAAAATGTTTTTTTGAACGAAAATAGTAAAAAATATGTCAATATGGAAAGTTTAAGAAAATATATAGATCAATTTTTAGTTATAGAAATTAATATGTCATAATTTGTCAAGTTATAGTTTATAACCAGATAAGTTATGGATAAATTTATCAAGTTATGGTTCATAATCAGATAAGTTATGGACAAAAACTGTGAATTATGGACAATAACTTGTCAAGTTATGGTCATAAACAGACAAGTTATGGACAAAAACAGTAATTTAACCTATTTATTAATTTATATAAACTATTAGCCTATTAATTTTAATTCATCTCAAGTCTTAATATATTTCCCTCTTTCTCCATTTTTTGAAATTCCTTTTATTTCTTTAAATTTTTTGTTATTATTATTTTTTTTAAACAGTATGTTGCATCTGAGTGTTTGCATTGAGTTATGAAGGAAAGGTGGAGCTCACAGAGGCACATTTTTTAGCAAAGTTTAAAGACTATTTTCATTTTGGAGTGAATGAGAGAAACACTTGCATGTTTGGAATTATTTTTGTTTTTGTTTTTCATTTTTTTTGAGAACGAAAAAATGAAAACGATTTCAAAACGGCGTTTGACACAATTAAAGGAAAAAAAAACGAAAATGAAAACGATTTTTTGATTTAATGTAAAATGAGAGAAATAAAAAAAACGATTTTTAGTCGTTTTTTTATTTTTTATTTTTGTTTTCTCCTCTCTCGAGCACAGAGAGAGACATTAATAGGGCTTTTATACTGAAAATAATCTTTTGATAAAACTACAAAATGCATTTTCAAAAATAATTTCTATTTGAGATTGAAAACGTTTTTATTTCCATTTTCATACAAAAAATAAAATTATTTTAAAATGAATTCTAAACGCACCTGTCATTTTTTGACAAAGACAATAGCAAACTCATAAAGGAATGACATCACGTCATTAAGGAGCAACATGTTTTTCCAACAAAGGAAACACAACTCCAACCGTTTATTTCATTAATTCGAATCACACCTAAAGTTTTTGTTACAGTGTTTTCTCTCACAAAAGTTCAAATTAACTTTTTCTACTATAATGTTCTCTCCCATGAATTTACTTTTGAACTCAAATTCTCAACTGGAACGAGCGAAACGAACGAGGCAAACCTTCAAGCATTTCACTTGTTTTTCCTCCGTGTGAGAGTAGGTTTTTATCATTGGACAAACGGTTGTTAAAGCTGAATCCTTAAATGAAATCAAATACTCGAAAGTAAACCTCATTATGAACATCAAGATGTTGATAGAATTCCACAAAAGTTCTCTATCCTACCAAACTATAGATGAACAAAAATTAAATCTTAACAAATTAAAAGATCAACTTCGAAGTAATATGTCGGAACTGAGATGCAGATCAGAATAAAGGCTTCTTTCCTTTAAGCATTCCCATCAAATAATCAAAAACCTGGCTTCCTGAATCGCGCAGACCAGAATGCATGTACTCATTAGTTATCCACAACCGAATCCCTGCTATTTGAGAAGCTGTTTCCATGGCCAACTTAAAGTTGACGTACATATCTTCATAGTAGACAGCAGCTGCAACAGGAACCTGCAGAAATTGAAACGACTAAAGTTTAAAAATAATATCATTTGACTTCTGGAGTTTAGATTATCGTTAGAGAGATTATGACTGCCGAAATTTTAATAAGTTTAACTTCGTATCACAGGCAGAGACCTTGTTGTTATTTAGCGCTTTGATATTGTATAGCGGAGGCCAATCCTTCTTCTCTGCCAATATATGCGCAGTATCTTTGAATTTCTTTAAGGCGTGAATCTCATCAAACATCCATGGGAAGATCATCTGCCAAAGCAAAAACCAAAATCCTATAGTATAAAAAATATCTAAACTGCTTTCTCATTGGCCTAATGGGTCATAACCGCAATCGACCATGCCATTCCCTAAGTGCATATGCAATTTGCAAATTACAATAGCTTATTTAGTTGATATGGTCAGAAAATTCCCCTCCACAGCTGATATAACAATTGAGGAACCATTTATACATCAACCAGAGAGAGTCAAGTAACTGAGGTAAATATTGCGGTTATTTTGTCTTGCGACTTCTTGTTATTTTTTCTAAAGATTCTGAGCTTATGCTAACCTCTCCAGTGAAAAGTACAGGGCGACGTTCTCTTGCAGCCATGATCGCGTCAAATTCGCTCTCATATACAGCCCTTATTTTGTTAGCAGACCACTGCGATGAAGCACCCTTAAAAACAAATGAACATGCGATTAAGACAAATCAATACACAAACAAATAAAAGGTCAATGATATGCAGATAAGTGAAAAACCAATCAAGGAACCAGAGAGTTTTCATAGAGTTCTAATTGTGAAGAATTTTAATTCTGGAAAATAAATAAATACTCTACCTGACAGTATATGGCTTCATGCAGAAGAGCATAGAGTGGATTTGTGTTGAAGGATATGGACTTCTCAAACTGGGAAATATAAAAATGGCTTTAGGATGATGCAAAGAATTAGAGTCAAACTTTGAGTCAAGATAAATAAGGAAGCAATGATTCTCTTACAGCGTCCAAGAAGTTATAACTAATTTGCTTTGGTGCTCCTGGAACTATTAGAGGATCCCAGACTATCTCAAACCTACGGGTTGTAGCAAAAATACATAAGAAAATATATCATGTTTCAAGGAAAATAAAATCGTAAGTTCTGAAATCAAGGAACCTACATGAAAACAAAGAAAAAAAAAATAAAGAAGCCTACATGTAGTGCAAGCGCTCAAAACCGGCACTGGATCCTAGACAAGAAAGACCAAGGACTTGCAGGCTTTTAGGGGTTAGGATGCCCCCGGATGGAAGATCCACCTAAAGAAGACAACACATTTCATAATTGCACTATACTAAGCTTAAGCATCAGCATTCAGAAAAGTACGTAGACCAAAGATGATAGATACTTACTCCTCCTTTTTCAAATTCTGACAAATAGTTGACAACTTCTTGAACTATCTTGATATCCTGAGGATACCTCTTGTAGTACTTCTCATTCTGAAGTTTAACTTGTTCGAAGCATGCTCTATACACAACATCTGCAGTGCACTCATTTCCAATTGGAGGGATTCCTCCAGTTAGGAGGACCTGTTTTAGTCCTTCTTGTGCAAAACTCAAATAAGTTGCTGCACAAAAACCACCATAGCTCTATACAAGAAAAAAGAACAAGTTGTCATTTCGTGTAACACACAGCCTCGCATCAGTGCATCACAAACATCACTAAGGATGAGGCAATTTAGAGCAAAGAAAGGGGAAGAAAAACAATGAAAAGAGAAACATGCACAATTGTGCAATGAAAAATCATGAAAAAGAAATAATGGACTTTGGATCTTAAAAATGGTCTTTGATATAAAGTTTCTATTTTCTAGTTGAATAAATCCTCTGCAGAGGGGTAGAACAATGATCAGAAATCGTACACATACACACAGCTCCGATGAAACTAGCGACACAAATAATACCTGACCCAAAACTGTCCAAGATCCAGCATCAGGAACAAGGCGGATTCGGATAAACTCAGCATCATTTACTATATTGTCAGCTCGGAAGTATTTTATGTAGTCAGCTAAATCCTTGGCAGTCTTCAATTGGGACATGGACGAAGACGTCAAGGAAGTTGATAAGCCTGTTCCTCGCTGCATTTAAATAGTTTGGTAAGATCAAAGATAACAAAAAACACTAGAAACAAATATCATAACATATTCTTAGGAAAGTGCCCTGAAGAACAATACCTGATCCATCAATACAACACGAAATTCTTCACATGCTCTCTGTATCCATCCACTGGCTTCAGTTGGTCGTGGACACTCAAAACCCGGTCCACCTTGTAGGTATAACAGATATGGGAGGGGTTGCTCCTCCTTTCCGACTGCAAGGTAGATTCAGCATTATCAAGCGATTAATAAATAGACCAAAATGCTCAAAACAAAATTTTGCCTATAGAAATAATCGATCATGGATATGCCTACATATGAATTTATGAAACTGGAAGAAAGATAATGTACTGGCCGATACATATCTGCCGCCTCTACTTCGAAACATATAGATCTTATAGTTGAATAAACATAGAGATTTGTAGTTCCTACAAGGCTACAACAGAAATTCAACATAATGCTACAATGTGTGTTTATACTAAATATCAAATCTTTTACAGTATCTACAGTAAAAGCAGCCAAGAAAATCTGAAGCTTATTAACTGATGATTATGAAATAAAATTTGAGCGAAGTATTTATCAACACTGACAAAAATTACAACACCCTTTTTCAACTAATCACTTATCTTAAGCATTTCACATTGGACCAACAGAATATGACACTATAGATCAGGAAAGATAACCACCATTAGTGATCATTATTGATAAAAATAAGTTAGAATAACATTAGAGAACTTAAGATTCCAAACAAAAGCTAAATTGATAAATCAAAATGTACTCTTGTTCGTATACATTATCAAAAGCTTGCACGAATCGAAAATCTTGATTTCAGTCAAAGCTAAGCAAAGCACCTGAAACCACTTCGCGAGCGAAGATCGAGATCTTAGAAGAATTGCGACGATCCGCTGAGTAGTCGAGAGGCACAGAGAATCGGTGGTCGCGAAGTCGAAGGTCCGGCGCCGAGTACCAGTCTCCGACCACGTGCTCCGGCAAGTTCTCGGCGGCGGCGGCGGCGGCGGAGTTATTCTCGGCCATCGGAGTCACCGCACGAAATGCTCTCCGGCGAGAGTGGAAATAGAGAGTATTAGTGAGTGGAATTAGTGGAACTGAAAGATGAGGAAGAGGAAATGCGGAATAAGTGCGAAGACGGGGGAGTGGTTTTATCAAAGAGGGTAGCGCTGCTGTTTCTGCCAGCAGCATTTTATTTTATTTTATTTTATTTTGAGGAAGGAATATAGAGATGGTGACGGGTTTGAGTGAACTGTAGGAGAACTTTAAGGTGAACGTGACACGTGGCGATGTAAGAAATCGATTTTTGGATTAGGAGTAGTTGTTAGGGAGCAAAAAGGATATTGAGAGATCGCCCTCGGCCCACCTATCTAACTTTTCAGCCGCATATCCTAAAGCTCCGCCCAACTTAACACAACTCAGGCCCCGGGGGAGTAGAAAGGGAGGAAAGGGGAGAGGGGGATTGGAAAAGAAAAAAAATAAAGAATTTATCTTTAACAATACATGAGTAATATTTTTTATATATAATTTTTTTTTTATTTTTTATTTTTTATTATTATTCTTTTATTAATATAGATATTTAATTAAAAAATTTATTAATTAAGAGTAAAATGAAAATTTTAATTTATACACTTTTAAACGGTATTTATTTTTTTTTAAAGAGAAATTATAAGGTACAAGTCATTATGATAAACCATTTTTCATAAATAACATAATTTAAGATAGTGAAAATTTATAGCATATTTAAAAATTTTAGTACATGGTGTGTCAGTTTTACTCTTGTTTTCTATGTTCTCCTTCTCTCTCTCTCTATGTGTTTTTCTCACTCTCTCTCCCTCCTCTAATTCACGCATCTTTCCCTGATGCTATGTTTGGTAGGAAGGAAAAAAAATAAGATAGAAATGAAATATGAAAGTGATAGAAAATAGCAATGATGTAAAGAAAATTAATTTTTTTTTATGTTGTTTGGTATGAGAAGATGGAAAAAAAATGAGTTTACTTTCACTTGTTTAGTATTAGAAGTTAAATTAGGATTAAAGAAAAAATCTTACTCGTAAATTACTTTTATACCCTTAAATTTTTTGCTTGGATGTTGATGGAGAAAATGATAGTTTAGTAACTTTGCTCACTTTAATGAGTTGTCCTCATTTTTCATCCCATTTTCTGCCCACTTGTGAAAAGAAAAAAAATGGTGGGGCCCACATGTATTATTTTCCACTCTATTTTCTCTTCCTTTCTCTTTTCTCTTCTACCAAACAATTTAGGGGTTGTTCTTTTGAAGTGTAACTTGAGTGTAGTTTTTGAGTTGAATTTGAGTTATAACTTGAGTTGAAGTTAAAACTTGAATAAAGTCGAGTAAAATTGAATAAAATTGAAACTTAAAAGAACGTGAACTTAAATAAAATTGAAACTTGAGTTGTCTTTTTTTGAGTTTTTTGGACAAAAGAACATGCCCTTACATTTTCATTTTCTCTCCCAAAATCCCTTTACCTTCTTCATTCCTTCTACTTTTCTTTTCTACCAAACATACTCTAAGTCTCTCGCGCCTCTCTCTCATGGCAAGTCTGTCTCTCATGCCTCTCTTTCATGATTGTCATCACCTTCTCTATCCCTTAAACTAGATGAAAAAATTTTACATAACAAATTAGGGACGAGAATGAGAGAATGAGAGTTTGTCAATGGTGATTAAAGAGAGAGATAGGAGACAGAGTGAATTTGGTAAATGTTGCATTTATCTGGTAAATCGTACATTTACCAGACAAATTCAATTTCTGCATCTGCGTAAATAATGAATTTACCATGTAAACTGACATTTTACCAAAAAGTAACTTAACATTTACTTGACTAGCAACTCCATCATTTTCTACGTAAATCCTTCATTTAACAAAATGATGAACGAAATTTGTATGTTGGTAAATGAAACATTTACAAAGTAAATTTTACATTTACCAACACAGAGAGATATTAAAAGCTGCACAAAATTTACCACATAAATCCTTCATTTACAAAAAAAATAAACAGAATTTGTATGTTGGCAAATGAAGCATTTACAAGATAAATTTTATATTTACCAACACATAGAGATATTCAAAGCTACACGATAAATCCTCCGTTTACCAAATATTAAACAAAATTTGTTTGTCGGCAAATGAAGCATTTACGACTTAAATTTTACATTTAGCAACATCAAGGAGAGCAATATAGCTCTATACGCGACAGAGCACCGTCGCGAGCTTAGTCTGATCGTGGTTGATATGTTCACATTCCACATCTCTGGTTTTACGAATCTGGATATATGAGAATTGCTTCACCGTGGCCTCTCTCTCCTCCTGTTCACTCCTGCAGTTAGATCTCCCAAGCTCGCGTCGCCGAACCTCGAAAGCTCCGTCTGAAAGCTCACGACGATGATCGAAGATTGTGCTTCAATCTCGGATATATATGGAGATCTCATCTCGATCTTTGGGATTTCGTCTTCTCTTGCTTTCTAACGCGCCGTCTTCTCTGGTGACGGTACTGATTGGCAGCGACTCACAGAGGCCAAAGTGATGACGGAATCGCAATTTCTGTTGACTGCAAAATGTGGTGATAGATTTACAGCGAGAGAGCGAGAGAGAGTGTGTCTGTGTGAGGATGAAGTCGTCGTTCGCCAATTGCTGGACGAAATTGTTGTTGCGACATTTGAATCACAACCAAGAGTGGACACCAGAGAGGAGGAGAGAGATAGAGAGCGAAAAATGGATGAGAGATAATGGGTGCGTTTGAAGTTGATTTTTGTTTATTTTTTAAAACCTTTTTTTGTGTTTTTTGAGATATAAAAATGAAAATAATCTGGTAAATTATGTTTGTTTAGTAAATATTTTAAAAATAAAAATAAAAATAAAAAATAATGAAAATAATTTTTATAAAAGAATTAGAAAACGATTAAAAGTTATTGTTTCTTTTTTATTTTCATTTTTTAGTACTTATCAACAATATTATAATATATTAATTAATAATTATAACTAAACACGATTTTACTTTTTTATTATACTCAAAATAATTTCTTAAAAAATCAACCAAACACAATTTCAAAATTGGTTTCAAAATAATTCTCAAAACAATCTCATTTTTACTTTTGTATTGAAAATAAAATTATTTTGAAAACGTTACCAAACGGGCCCAATGAATCTGGATGGAAGAGAGAGAATGACAATTTTGGTATTTTGATGAGGGTATTTTTGGAATTCTCATAGTGTGATAAATTAAATTTATGAGAATTGTACTATTAGTAATGGAATTTTTAGAAACTATAATCAAACTCAAATCATGATTCTGTTACAGTATTTTTGGAGAGAATACATGCACTAATTGCTCAAAGTGAGACTTAGGAATTTTTTGGCCTATAATCCCTTATTTATACCTCAGGTCACCGTCTCTGTTTATTTCCTTAGTCAAAATCATGGATATTTCCCTTATATTTTGAGATAGTTTTCTAAAATATAGAGATTACAATCAATCAGAACAATTTCGTTATTTAAATTTCATATATTTGAATTACAAATAATAAATCTGGGAGGAAATCTTTCAGATCATTATCTTTGTGTAGCCTCGACTCCGTAAATGCTTTCTTTATCCTCTTCGTTATAACCTCTGAGTGTGGTCCACCTCATGTCCCCTTCTCACAATGGTCGAGCTCTTATTTACATCAGATGCTTTCTTATAACAGTCGACTCTTAAGAAGGCTATCTGGTAACGTGACTCTTAAGGCTGAGTTGTCATTGATTATTCAATGTTATTCTTTATGGCATGCGGGCCCCAGTCAGGTCTAATGTAGGGTTCAACATTTTACCCTACAACAAGTATATCTTCCAAACTCGGCCAAATATTCTTAAAACATTATGTTGTTTACTTTTTAGGATTAATTACAAAAAATTCTCTCGACCCCTTGTACCCCTTTAGAAATTGACATTTTAGTTAGATGGGGGTATTTGGTAACTCTATGCTTTGAAATTTAATTTGAAATTAAAACTAATTTAAATTTAGACTTTTAATTATGAAACATCTAGGGGTATTTATGTTAACGTTTCATTATTCAGGGGATGAATATTACGTTTTAAAGATTAGGGGCAATATATTACAAGGTGAATAATTTAAGAGGAGTTTTTGTAATTAATCCTTATTTTTATTCATATCTTAAAGATGTTATTTCTCTATTTCTCTTTAGACATGTAGAAAATTGTTGAACTTACATTTAGAGTGCATAGGTTTGAATTTTTACCCTTTTTGACTAATATAAATTTTTTTTTGCTTGAAAAAAAATAACTAGACTAATATAGTTATTTAATTAGAAAATATCTTTAAAAAAAAAGTTAAAGACAAATACGCAAAAGCCAACCAGAAGGATGTATTAAGCAAACATAAAAAGTTAAACTGGTAAATACACATTTATGAGGGCAAAAAAAGAAATTTACTGTTCATAATACTGTACAATAAACAGTAATTCCGAAGAGTCCCTTTAGAATATTTAGAATGTGCTAAATATCCTAATATTAATCCTAAAAACCTTCCAATGCCATCATTGTACTGTTTTTATTCCTCAAACGTTTTTCACTCCTTACAAGAAAAAAAAAAGTTATTTACTCGCCTAATAAAAGCCTACAATTCCATTTGCAAAAATCAAAATCATCTCTCTCTCTCTCTCTACTCTCTACAATGGCCTTCTTGACCACCATTGCCAGGGCCAAACCATTCGCCCGTTTCCTCCGCTGCATGAGCAACATACCAGAGAGCACGGTCTACGGCGGTCCCAAGGCCCAGAGCCCCAACCAGAGAGTGACTCTGGCCACCCTCAGGCGGAAGCACAGGAGGCGCGAGCCCATTACCGTCGTCACCGCCTACGACTATCCCTCGGCGGTGCACCTCGACATGGCCGGCATCGACATCTGCCTCGTCGGCGACTCCGCCGCCATGGTCGTACACGGCCACGACACCACTCTCCCCATCTCCCTCGATGAAATTCTCGTCCATTGCCGCGCCGTCGCTCGCGGCGCCAAGACGCCGCTTCTCGTCGGCGACCTGCCGTTTGGCTCCTACGAGTCCAGCTCCAATCAGGTATGGCGGGGATTTTTTATGGCGGTAATTTTTGCCATCCATTTTTTTTTTTTAGAATTGTTCTTTTTTTGTTTCCGTTTGGCTCTTCAGAAAGCAGAGGATTAGAAAATGAGCAATGTTAGGTGATCATCACCATTGATTTTGTATCAATTTTTGAGTAAAGACTAAGACTATGTTTGCGTATAACAGTTTCTGAATAACGAATAAGATTATGTTTATCATTCTTTTTAAATTACAATCCTAATTAAAAAACTAGCAGGTGATTACTAGTGATGTTTAGCATTTCTCGGAAAGAAACGGGTTCGATGTAATTTGCTCAAGTGATGAAATACTTAAGATTAGCAGGCTGTTGATACCGCAGTGAGGATATTAAAGGAGGGAGGAATGGACGCAATAAAATTGGAAGGAGCGTCCCCCGCGAGAATAAGCGCGGCGAAAGCTATAGTAGAATCGGGAATTGCGGTGATGGGGCATGTAGGACTCACTCCGCAGGCCATTAGTGTTCTCGGGGGATTTAGGCCTCAAGGCAAGAATGTTGTTAGTGCTGTAAAGGTCTGTGTTTTTATTAATTTTTTCTACGTTTATGTGATTTAGCCTGAGGGGTCGTGCTTGCAAAATGTTGGTGTAGTTTTGAATTTGATGTTTATGTCTTTTAGTTATTTTTCCCTCTTGTGCAGGTTGTGGAAACTGCCCTGGCCTTGCAGGATGCGGGCTGTTTTGCGGTGGTTTTAGAATGTGTACCTGGACCTGTGGCAGCTGCAGCTACTTCTGCTCTTCGGATTCCTACTATTGGCATTGGAGCCGGGCCTTTCTGCAGTGGCCAGGTTTGTTGGCAACCTTTTCCTATTTTGCTGATACATGTAAACCTGGAAATGTGTATTTTCTCTTGGAATAATTAGATAACGACCGACTTTGTTCAAGCAGTTAGATTCCTAGATTGTCATACAATACTTTATTTTATGTCGCTGTAACTTGAACTTCGTGCTTATAATTGTTCAATCCATAAAGTATGTACGAGGTGGAAATTTGATTCCTCAGTTTGTATTTTGTGTTTCATCTGGTTTTGTACTGTTGTCTTTAAAACTCGTAATTTCTGATGAAAGCTTTTGATTGCACACTTACTCTCTTAGGAATCAAGTTTTGCGTCTACATCCTTGCACTTGTGCATGATATAATAAGATATCAACCTGCAATTGGGTATATCTTACCTTTCTGCATTTCACTCTTCTTTTTCTTTTCCATTGTTGTCTTGGTTAATTTGTTTCATATTGAAATTCCTTTTCTCCAGAAATTTCATAAGAATAATAATGTTTGTGAAAGCTCAGTTAAATTATGGCATGTTCAATTTGTCTCAATGCGATACAGGTGCTAGTTTATCATGATCTGCTCGGAATGCTACAACACCCGCATCATGCTAAAGTAAATTCCACAATTGTGTGTCCATTAGTTGTTACTCTTCCCTTGCATATGAAACTTTTTTTACTCAACAAGAAAGCAACTCATCTTTTGCAGGTTACCCCAAAATTCTGTAAGCAGTATGCACAAGTCGGAGATGTAGTAAACAAAGCTCTATTAGAGTATAAGAAAGAAGTGACCAATGGTTCATTTCCTGGCCCAGCGCACACCCCATATGAAATCAGTCCCTCCGATGTCGGTGATTTCTCAAATGAGTTGCAAAAATTGGGTTTGGGCAAGGCAGCGTCTGCAGCAGCAGAAGCAGCTGAGAAGAATAATAAATCTGAAGGAGGCAGCCCAACAAGTGACTGAAAATGGGATAGCTCATAAGGTCATTGTTCCAGCAACGTCCAATGTTGTTATGGTCGCTACCAAAATTGGAAATTGCTCCGGCTTTTTAAGACTAGGCTCCTCAGTTTTGCATAGCCAATACAATGGTTTCAAATGAAAGTCTCTAAAATTTTGTCATTCTGATGAAATGTATTAGGCCCTCCTCCCTTGGTCATTTTGTTTTCATAACAGAGAAGAGAGTTTCTAAAGTATGTAGCTCAAGTTCATTCTAAAGCTTAAATAAAAGTTGTTCTTGCATATAGTTCATCTCGAATTGCTAATGGCTCCAGAGATGGATGCTTAAAGCCAAAACTAGGCGGAGTCTGATAGTCTCTGTGAATTTATGTAAAATCCATTTGTATAACTCAGCAAGAGTTTTCTTTTCCCATTGTTCTTTTTCTTTTTTTTTTTTTTTTCTTTTTTTTAGTAAGAAACTCATAAGGACTTACTTTTGTTTTCCATAAATCCGATTAATTCGCCCAATCCAATCCAGCGGATTGGGGTTTTTGACTGGTCTTGATTGAAAAAATCTCAATCCCAATGTTTTAGATTTGTTCTTGGATTGAGCATTTCTCAAAATCTGTGAATCCAGAACATATATATAATGTATATAATATACATAATTCTTTTAAGTTAAGTTTTAATTTCATTTTGAGTTTTACAAAATCTAGTTTGTCATTGTTAATTGGATTCTAATAATTTATAATTTGTTGAACTATTTTATGTTATGCGATCTTTATTTGGGTTATGAATGTTGTAAATTTTGAATTGAATGTTAAAGTAATATTGATAAATGATGAAGAGTTCATTTGTGTTTTATTTTGTATGGGAGAATTTCTCTGGTGTTTCCTCTTTTTTAGAGACACTGATATTCTTTACTTATCAATCATCTGATCTGTATTACTTTTTTAATCTGATTTGATTTTTGATTAGATTTAATACAGATCTGATGATTGATAAGCAAGAAATACTGACATTCTCAAAAAAGAGAGAACGCCAGAAAAAGTCTCTTTGAATGGATGTTTAATGTACTTATTAACTTTATGAAATTACGGATCGACCTCTAATCTGTGGATTCTAATCTAATATTTTGTTCATGTTCTATATTTTCCTCAAAGAAAAATGTCGACTCCCGAATAGGGATGAACAAAAAAACAAAGAAAACAAAGAAAACCTGTAATTTGATTTACCCACCAAATCCAACCTATTTTAACATTTTAACTCAACCGATTTAATCCGACCATTATTTGGGTGGATTTATTTTTATTTGAGAAAAGTACATAGTTTGCCAAGGTTTTATGCTGGGTTATTATTTATATCACTCTAAATAATTAGGTGCTATTGGCTATTTTATCTTTATTAATTGAATGACAATTGTTTATTTTTAAATAGAGTGGTATGAGTAATATTTTTTTACCATCTTGAGTGATATATCTGGTTTTTTTTTTCCCTTTTTATTTTTGGATTCATTGAGTGGATTTGAATTCAAACTTTACCAATCTGCTATAAACCCATCCCACCATATGAAATTTTATAGAGAGAAGTATATGGTTTGCCATGATTTTATGAAGGCTTATTATTTATGTCATTCAAAATAATTTAGTATTATTGTGGCCTTTTGTTATGACAATTTTTAATTTTTAAGTAGAGTTGCATAAACTATCTTGAGTGATATTTCTAGTCCCAATTTTATATGCTTTTGAACTATATTTTAAACATATATTCATTAGATTTTGTTATGATTTATTCATTTCAATTTCCATGGTTGCTCTTTTATTTTTATATTTTATAGTAATTCCAAAGAGATTGTTTTTAGTTGAACTTAGCAACTTGCTATGGACAACGTGTTACAAATTATAATTTTTTCTTATATTTCTCTTCTGAAGCTGCAGCACTCGTTTTATTTGTTTAATTTTTTAATAATGTCTAACCCACTCAACTCACCCGAGCTCTATTTTGACGTTTTCTTTTTCTTTTTCTTTTTATTCTTAGTTGATTGGCTACCTTTTTTTTTTTTTTCAATGGTTCAAAATTCCTAAAACCCAACCTGATGTTCGACCCTACTTTCAAAGGTTTTAGTGTAAGTCTTCATGTTAAACTCTTTGAAGTATTTAGAATGCTTTTTATGGAGAGCGAGCGTTCCAATTGCAATGCCAAATGTGCTAATGTCAAATTTTGATACTTGAGTTGAAAATCATTTATTACTACTTTTTATCTTAAATTTAGCCTCTTCGTAAATGATATACTTGACGATAAATTTAACATCAAATATAATAAATGACGAATTTAGCATTAAATTGTTATTGATTGATGCACAAACTTTTTTCTTCTAATGATCACCATCTAGTACTAGAACTTTAGATGGGCCGTCCGAAAAAATCGAGTTTTTACCCGAGCCCGACCCGCCTGAAAAATTCTGGCTGCCCGCCCGCCCAAGCCCGGATTTCACCTTGAACGGGCCGCGGGCTTGTAATAGGCCGCCCGAGCCTACCCGATTTGCCCTAATTTTTTTAAAATATTTTTTAATTTTTATAATTATTAAGTTAGTTTGTGTTAAAATTATGTAAAAATCAAAATCAACATTCAATAGACATTATTAACACAATTGAATAAATTAATCATGTATATTATTGATGTATTAAATTCGTAATTCATGATTGTCTCGTTAAAAACCTTACCAAGAAAAATCTAATTGGGATAAAAACTTGACAAGGAAAAAAGAGTGCAATCATTTTGTGACGAAGTACAAATTTACAAACTTACAAAGTTATACAATTACAAATACAATGTCAAAAGTAAATACATAATTACAAATTACAAATTTACAATTTAATTTGAAGCTGAAGGATCGTCTTCAAAATTAAATGTTAATTGATTAAATTCATCAATCCATTCTTGGCTTGCCGGCGAAATTGTATCCTGTAGACGTTGATCGGCCTGATCCCAATCCTTAATGCAAACCAAGGTTTCAACAATATCCCTTTGTAATGCATTTCGGCGTTCCTCAAGTATTCTTCCTGTCGTACTAAAAGCTTGTTCGGATGAAACATTGGAGATTGGGATTGAAAATATATCCATTACCAATCGAGTTAGGATCGGCCAAGTTAATGCCTGTGCCCTCCACCATTGAACTAAGTCAAACGATTCTGCCGTACCGTGGACTATTAACCCTTCACTGAGGTACGCCATAAGCTCGTTGAAGCTGCCGCCGCCGCTGCCACTGCCACTTGTTGACGAAGATTTACTCCCAGCTTCTGTTTGAGTTGTCTTCTTCTTCTTCTTCATTTTTCTAAACTACTTTCTAAACCTTCTAATTTTAATGTAGGATCAAAAATAGTACCTAAACCATACAACAAAGGCAACTTAGACCAATATTTTATAAATTTCCTTTCCATAGAATGGATAGGAATTGCTAAGATTAGGTCATCCCTTTATTCACTACATAAAATACTAATTCGTAAAAGTTCTCCTAAAGCTAAAGGTGATGTTGGGTAATATGTTCCACTATGTTTTAGAGTCACTTCATGAAACCTACCTAAAAATTGATACAAAACTTCGGCAATTTGCCAATCATATGCGTCTATATATCCTACTCCTACTTTTGCACACATATAGTTTGTTATAGCATCCTTATAGGGGATGCATTGTTGAAGCATTATGTAAGTTGAGTTCCATCTTATAGGCATATCTAACGCTAATGCTCTAGGAGGTATATTTAATGCTTGTAAGAACCTAAACCAATATTCTTGTCTTTGGTTACTATCTTGAATCTATGCAAGACTATCTCTAATTCTTTTAATGTGATTACCCATTTCTTTTAAACCGGATTTAACAATTAAATTAATTACGTGACATGCACAACGTTGGTGGAACCGTCACCGAATAAACTTAAATCATTTTCAAAGAACTCAATTATTTTTGTATTGGCACTAGCATTATCTAATGTTATAGCCATTACTTTATCTCTTAATCTAAATTTATCAATTACATTTAAAATGGTATTACATATTAAATCTGCACTATGTGATCTTATAACACATTTAAACCTAATATTCTCTTACCTAAATCAAATCCTTTAAAGTAATGTCCGGTTACAGCTAAATAATCTTTATTGGCAACGGCAAACTAAATATATGCCGTTAACGCAACGCACCTGCTAGTCAAGTGTAAAAGGTTTATTAATGCTTCTTTTTCTTTTTTAAATAATTTTAATAAATCTTTTCTAAGAGTAGTTTTTCAAGTAAACTGTGCATTAGGATTATGTACAACCTTAACATATCGTTGCCAATTAGGATGCTCTACAAAACTAAGTGGTTGATCTAAAGCAGCTATCATTCGTGCAACTTCCATACGATCTACCTGCGGATCGTATGTCCAAGTGGTTAGACCACCGGTTGCGCGATCAAAAGATAATTGTGTTTGGCGGAGTTCGGGTCCGCCGGATTGGCTAAGCTTTTGAAGACACTTTTCGGAGTGTCTTCTCAAGTGTGTGGTGTCGTGAATAGTGTCACCTTGTAATTTAGATAAATAATATTTACACTGAGCTATATGTTTAGTGTTACTTTCATTGTCGATCTCATCAATTATGTCGAAATGATCCCAAATTGTCAAGGTGCGCTTGCATTTCCTCCTAGAGGTTGCAACACTTGCAGACGCAGTCGCACTAGCACTTGTCGTTTCTCCACGCCCGTCACCATTGCGACCATGACCTCCAGTACGTCCACCAGGGCTCAGATTAGTAGATTCTTGCGTAACAAATTCATTAGTGAGAAATTGCCCTTCTTCCACGTTGTGTTGAGCATCAACGGGAATACCACTATAACCAAAAAGATCCATTATAAAAAAAATAATAGTGATTTGAGAGAGAGAGAGCTTTAGGATAATGTGATAGTTTTTAGAAAAATTGTAATAGAGATTTGAGAGATTGAGAGAGATTGAGAGAGATTGAGAGAAATTGAGAGAGATTAAGAGAAATTGAGAGGGATTGAGAGAGTTTGAGTGAGAAAAATGTGTGGGGGATGGGGGGGTATTTATAGGGAAATTTTTGGGTTAAAAATTGATTTTTTTTCAAAAAATTCGAGCTGCAACAGCTAGTTTAGGGTTCGGCGGGTTCGGGTTCGGGTAAAAACTAGCCGTTGGACGGGTTTTCGGACAATTCGGGTAGATCAGGCATCTCAGGTTTTCAGGCAAAATTCAGGTCGGGCAGCCAACAGTCATTTTTCTGACCTTTTTCATGATTTTCGGGCTCGGGCATTTGGGCAAATCGGGCTTGGCCGGAAAAATTCAAAAAAAACTCCGGCGGACGGCGCGGGCTCTGGCGTGGTCTCAAAATTTGGGCTGCCTGAGCCCAAGCCCAAATATCCACCTTGGACGGGCCGGCA